ATGTGTGTATGTCTGCAGGCCGGAAGAGGGCACCAGACCTCATTCCGGATGGTTGTGAGCCACCATGTGGTTTCTGGGAATTGAACTCAGGACCTTTGGAAGAGCAGACAATGCTCTTAACCACTGAGCCATCTCTCCAGCCCCCCAGTACAATGTTTTAATCCTAACAGTTAACCAAGTGAAACTGAAAAATAATGCAAGCTCAAATTAAAGAAAAATTTTATTGTTGTTTTGTTGTTGTCTTGGTAATACCAGCCTGGCCTCGGACTCCCTTTGTCTCCAAGGACAATTTTGAGTTCCTACAAGTCTGCCTTTTGCCTCAGACTCCCAAAGTGGGGTTACAGCTCTGGCGGCCTCTGCCGACTGAAATAAACAACCATGGCATTTTTGACACATTAGGTTTTTTTGTTTGTTTTCATTTTGGGGGAGAGGAGCATTTCGAGACAAGGTTTCTCTGTGCAACAGCCCTTAGATGTCTTAGAACTGCTCTCAGGCTGGCCTCAAACTCACAAAGATGCACCTGCCTCTGCCTCCCAAGTACTGGAATTAAAGGCGTGCGCCACTGCTGCCCGGCTCTAAAACTCTCTTCATAGAACAGGCTGGCTCTGAACTCACAGCAATTCACCTGCCTCTTTCTCCCAAGTACAGAGATTAGATTAAAAACATGCACCACCAAGCCTAGCTCAATTAAAAAATCTGAGCATGTCTTCTTAGTATACTTTTATAGGCTCCCATTTTTCAGCAACAACTATCCTTGGCTCCACAGTGATACCTTATTTATGTCATCAATTTTGGCAGCACTTACATTGTAAATAACTATTTTCAAGAATTAAACATACTAAAAACGCAAAACAAAATGGTGCTGAAGGGTACCATGACAACTCACAGAATTGCAGGTAATTCTACTGAACCAGATATCAATGCAGAATTCCTCAAATAAAATGTCAACTACCCCACTAGTTTTGTGTGGCCTTCTTTTATTATTTTATGTGTATTATGAGTTTTGTGTGTGAATATGGATGTGTGTGACATGCGTACATGTCAAGGTCAGAGGATTCATCTACCAAGGGTTCTGGGTATTGAACCCAAGTTGTTAGGCCTGTTGGCAAGCATTTTTATTAACTGAGCTATCTCACAGGCCCCTTTTCTACTAATTTTCTGTAGATGGTGTTTCACTATGTAGCCCTGGGTTCTTTGGAAAAACATCAGTGCTCTTAACTGCTGAGCCATCTCTCCAATCCCTGATTTTTATCTTCTTGGTCTTCAGAGACTGTCAAAGCAATTTAACATTTTAGTTTTTAGTTCTCCTTTCAGTCTCCCAAATTTACAGATCACAGGGATCATAAACTTCCACGACCCACTTTATATGCTGCTGTATTTAAACCTCAAGTCTCCTGCCCCAGCCTCCCAGCTATCCGGCACTACGGGTCTGTGCTGTTTGGGCCAGAGTCACTCTTGTCACGTGGAGTTTGATTTCTGAGGAATCGCTAGGCGTTTCTTTTGGAAACCTCAAGGCCACTTGCGATTGACGAACAGGAACGCTGTGTAATTCTCTTTATTTAGAATTTAGAATGGAAAAGCTTCTGTAAGTGCCATAGGGACCAACACTAATCTGGGCTTGAACAAGATGGTGGCCGGTACCAGAGAGGTCTATCTTTTGAAAGCAACTCCAGCACAGGAGTAGTAAAAGCTTAGCGAGGCCGAGACGGTAGCAATCCGACCACAAATGTGAGCGGAAGAGTCTCCCACGGAAAGCAGCCTCGTTCGGTTCGGCAGAGAGCAGCCCACCTCACTGGGCAAGTCCTCTGAAACGTGTTTGTGAGTCGGCTCCTCTCCGGTAAGAGCCGAGGTGGAGCGCCGCGCCTGCTCCGACGCATGCGCCCTAGACCGAACAAGCGGCACAGTGGCGTGGTCTTTCAACACCCAGCGTATGGACGACGTCTGAGGTGGAAGAGGCGTTTAGGGTTCTCAACACGCATGCGTCGAGACCCAGGCGTTTCCTTCGGAGGGTGTGGAGTGCGGGGTCTGTATTGCGCAGCTGCAAGGGCGGTCCAGTAGCACGAGCTGTCGATCAAGGGGAGGGAAGAGAAGGGTGAAGGGATTAAAAAAAAAAAAAGAAGAAAAAAAAAAACCCGGTGCGCCTGCGCATTGCCATCTGGTTGGAAGGGCTTCGGACTGGAAAGGGGCGGGGACACGTATGCGCGTCATTGGATGGGTAGGTGGGAGAGAGGGTGGAGATCGGGGAGGGTCCGTGCGCTTGCGCAGTGCGGGGGTGGAAAGTGCAGGAGCTACCCAGCACGCTTGCGCGGCTGTCATAGGGCTGCTTGGTTGGTCAGTGGGGAGTCGGCGCCTGCGTACTAAGACCCGTGTGCAGCAGCGGCGGCGGCGCTAGAGGCGGCGGCGGCGGCGGCGGCGGCAGCGGCAGCAGCAGCGGGTTCGGAGGCAGCGGTTGGGCTCGCGGCGAGCGGACGGGGTCGAGTCAGTGCGTTCGCGCGAGGTGAGAGCGGGCAGGGCGCGCCTGCGCGTAAGCTCGGTTTGGGCGAGAACGAGAGACGGAACTACGCGGGGGTCGGGGAGGGGGGCAGAAGGGAGCGGCGGCTATCGCCGCACGGGCTCGGGCAGGGAGCGGCGCGATGCGCGGAGAGGCGGGCGCACGGCCCAGTTGGCGCGAGGGGTGACGGTTGGGGCCGGCAGGGTGACGTTGGAGCGACGCAGGGCGGGGGACGGCGAGCCGCGAGGCCGCCACGCGGGAGAGGCCGCCAGGCGGCCACGCCGGGGCGAGGGCCGGGGGCTAGGTCGGCCCGGCCGGGCCAAGGGTTCCTGGGCCGTTGAGGACCAGCGCTGAGCGGCCACGTGAGGTGGGGGAGGGGGCTGCTCGGTGAGGGCATGTGGAGAGGGTTGGCGGCCGGCGGGGGGAGGGGAGACGGCATGGCCCTGGCCTGGCGCAGCTTTGGGGCAGGGGCGGCCGCAGCACCGGAAGTGTTCCCCATTGGAGGCTGCCCCCGGGGTCCGTGACCATGCGGCTGAACATGGACCGGGGCCGCATGGCAGCACGGGGACCCCTCCCCCCTGGCCCGGGCCACCGGAAGCCTCGGGCGACCACATGGTGGGCGCGAGCCGGCAACCCCCAGCGCAAAGAGGTCTGATCTTTTTGGGTTTCTACGGAGCCTGGGATTTTGGTGTGCGGGAGAGACCCTAGCCTTGGGTCTCGATCATCCCGCAGGGCCCGTTGCAGGCATATGTTAGTGCTCCCCAGCCTCATGGGCCTCTGGAGCTCATCCCCCAGTCTTCATGTGAAGTGAGCCGTCCAGCCAGATGTAAGTGGTACTACTTTTCTGGGGAAACCGGGAAAACTGGGTGAATTGAGGGTCATTGGATTGAAGCCCAACTCTTCTCGGCCCATGCCGACAGCGCCTGAAAGTACTAAGCTTTTAGTTCCCCCGCGGTGATCTTCGATCTTCACCTTGCCACTGCCTTCCCTCTTGTTTGGTTTGTGAGTTACTGTGTTTAGTGCTTAACTCTAGCACTAGTCTGATCTGTTACTACTACCAACCTTTTGCTTTCATTTTATTGTCATTCACCTCCCCTCACTCCCCCACTCTCTACTGACTGTACAGGCTGGGCCTGAAAAGCCGACAGGACTGGTGCATCCTGGGAAAAGTGGGAGGGCGATTGACAAAAGGCTGAGTTCCCTTCGGGAACTGAGATCGAGGTGCTTGGCAGTGGGATCATTTAGGAAACTACTTTCTCCCCCCTTGACTGCATCTACAAGTGCATGTTGGAGAGGCGGGAATCCCCCAAAGAGGCCTTGTGGTTTCCTGTACCAATGACTGGCTTGTGTGTGGATAGGGTGGGGGGGGGTGTAACAGCTGGGTGGGGCCTTGTCCTCCGTCTCCACCCCTTCATTAGCCCCGCCCTTCAGCTGGCTCATAGCTGCTCACCTAATTATAGTGCTGGCAGAGTGTGGGGAAGAGGGGGTGGTTGGTTTCAGTGGCAAGTAACACCTGAGTCCTGCCCCCTCCCGGGAAGTAGCCCTTTTCCTCATCTCTGGCATTTGGCGTCCGAACTCCCAGGAACCTTCCTTTCCCAAACCACATTTTTAGATTTCATTTGGGGAGGGGGTCGGGGATCCAGCTGTTTCCCCCCTCCCATACACCAACTCTTCAGTATGTTTGAGTCCAGTTCAAAGCAGGAAGTTCGACTTTATTTAGATGGGTAATGGAATAAAGGGGGAATGGAGCAATGTTTTAGAGAGGAATGGGATAGATTAGCGGTCCTGGTAACCTCCATCCTTACTGACCCTAGTTCTCTTCTTGGCTTTAGTTGGAATCGAAGCCTCTTAAAATGGCAGATGACTTGGACTTCGAGACAGGAGATGCAGGGGCCTCAGCCACCTTCCCCATGCAGTGCTCAGCATTACGTAAGAATGGTTTTGTGGTGCTCAAAGGCCGGCCATGTAAGATCGTCGAGATGTCTACTTCGAAGACTGGCAAGCATGGCCATGCCAAGGTTAGAATAACTTCTCTACATCCTGTCTTCTCTGTAGCTCCCACATCCATAGCGCTCTGGGTAATGAACTGTTGCAGACTTGGTCCCTTCTTACTGTTCTAGTCCTTTCGTTCAGAACCCAGGTTTTATTGCCATCCAACAGTGTCTTCCACAGTGCTCCTGTCATTCTGTCCTTTTCTCCCTCTTTGTGCTAGTCTCTAGAACTGTGTGTATCCACAGTCCTTTAGCTTGGCACATTCAGTTTCTTCATCTTGACCTTTTTCCTTGGGCCTGTTGTCCAAGATTTCTCCAGTCGAGACCCATGGAGGGCAGCGTTCTGGGTCTCTAGTCTGCATTCTCAAGCCGCCTAGCAGCTGCTGCTCCTCCCAGTTGTGAACTTCCCTTTGGCAGTTACCTGCTTCTGATTACCACTGAACTCTTTGTTCTCCAGCTTACTTCAGTCTTCTCATTCTCTTCACCTAGACATGCTGTGTCTTAAGTTGACCCTAACTCAATCCTATTGATTCTGGTTTTATTCGCTAGTGAGTCCCCTGTTGCGGATTGGGCATTTAGAGCCAGGCTATTCTTTCATACTAACTTCATACATGGTTCATTCTGATCTTTTCCCCTGGGTCATTTTCTTCAGGTCACTTACCTTCCTTTGCTTTCATTTCTCAGCCTGCTCTTATCTTATTTAGCTCCTTCTGTAAATGTCCAAGAAACATTTACCTAGAGAACCCCCCCCCCAATACAATAAGACAGCATCTTATGAATTCTAGAGTGGCCTCTACCCCCCCTAGTGCTGGGATTACAGACACACCATTATGATTGGTGTTTTTGGTTTTTTTAATGTGGTGCTAGGCATCCGACCCAAGGAAGGCCCTGTGCTTGCTGGGCAAGTACTGTATAAGTGACATCTCCAGTCTTCATCAATGATTTTTGATAACTTTCATGTCACTGGTTTAACAGGGTTTTTTTTTTTTTGTTTGCTTGTGTTTTTTTTTTTTTTTTTTTTTTTTGTCATCTCCAGTCTCAGTAGTAGTACTCTTAGCTTCAGACTTTAAGGATTTGCTTGTCTTTCTCAATTGGCTCATTTCTAGTTCCATAGTTTTTGCTGTAACATGGCAGGCTTACTTGTCACCAGCCAGTAATAAAAGCCTTTATCTTTATCTTAGAGTTTGATTTGATGGGTTTCTCTTTATGATATATGTACACAGGTCCACCTGGTTGGTATTGACATTTTTACTGGGAAGAAATATGAAGATATCTGCCCGTCAACTCACAATATGGATGTCCCCAACATCAAAAGGAATGATTTCCAGGTATGTTTTTGGGATGAAGATGGTTAGTGGCTCATGAAGGGTGGGGATGTGTGCTGACCCGCAGCTGTGGGGAAAGGGAGCTGGTAGGAGAGGGTACTTAGAGAAGTTGCTGTCACTCTAGTTTGTCATTCTCTTTATACTTAACCTACCTGTGCCTGTTTTTAATTTCCTTCTTCTCCCAGCTGATTGGCATCCAGGATGGGTACCTATCCCTGCTCCAGGACAGTGGGGAGGTACGAGAGGACCTTCGTCTGCCTGAGGGAGACCTTGGCAAGGAGATTGAGCAGAAGTATGACTGTGGAGAAGAGATCCTGGTATGATGCCCCCCTCCTCGCCTGATATACTCAGCTTTGCTCCTTATGCTTCAGAACTCTCGAGTTAAGGCATCTCTGGACTGTCCTTTTTGCTTTTCCAGATCACGGTGCTGTCTGCCATGACAGAGGAGGCAGCTGTTGCAATCAAGGCCATGGCAAAATAACTGGCTTCCAGGTGAGTGTGACAGCCTTCACTATCCTTCATACTGTTGTCCTCATCGGTTTAATGGGCCTTCTTTCTGTTCTTAGACTGGTCCTTCCTCTCTTACCCTTTCTTGAAATTGTTTTTAAACATGATTTCTTTTTCTTGCCCAGGGTGGCGGTGGTGGCAGCAGTGATCCTTGAGCCTACAGAGAGGCCCTTCCCCCAGCTGGGTTCTGCTCTGGCTGGGCCCTTGGCTGGACTCCTATACAATTTATTTGACGTTTTATTTTGGTTTTCCTCACCCCTTCAAACTGTCGGGGAGACCCTGCCCTTCACCTAGCTCCCTTGGCCAGGAATGAGGGAGCCATGGCCTTGGTGAAGCTACCTGCCTCTGCCCTCACAGCCCTGGTGGGGGAAAGGGGGAAAGGTATTGCTTGTGGTTTAGGTCCCCCACCTCCTTTATTTTCTTTTTAATTCAATTTGGAATCAGAAAGCTGTGGATTCTGGCAAATGGTCTCGTGTCCTTTATCCCATTTATCCCTGGTCTGGTCCCCTGCTCTCCGTAGTCCTTCACCCCAAGCACCGCTTGTACAGACTGGGGACCAGCCCCTCCCCTCCCTGTGTCTCTTCCCCAAGCCCTTTTAGGGGTGAAGAGAAGAGTGTGGGGGGGAGCGGACATGATCCCTCCTCAGGCATCTGGGAGGGCCTTGCCCCCATGGGCTTCACCCTTTCCTGCGGTTCTCCCTGACACATTTGTTAAAAATCAAACCTGAATAAAACAAGTTTAATATGAAGCCCCCAACTCAGTGTTTATTTATTTGTTGATTGAAAGATGCAATCCGTCATCCCCTTAAGTAGCCTGGGTGGAAGCAAACAAACAGTAGTCGGGGTGGTGGTAGTGGGTACATTTTATTGGTTTGGGGCACATAGGAAGAACCCCCACCTTGAGGGATGGAGGGTAGGTAGAAGTTATCTGGTGGTTACTTGTGGTAGAATCGTGGGTTCTGGCTGTGTTGGATGAAAGGGAGTCGAGGGCCAGGTTGGCTGGTAGTAGCAAAGCCTGACTGGTGATAAAAGTTTTTATCAGTGGGTAGATAACTTCTTCCACTTAACACTCAGTAAAGGAGGAAGGGACAATTGCAGTAGATTAGCAGTATCAGATTTTGGTTCCCAGCCTTACCTTTCCTGCTGCTTGCATCTGCACAGGGAGCTGGGGGGAAGCCAGGAGTCCAGGGGCTGGATGCAGAGCTTGGGGATGCATGGGCCGCAGAGAAGACTGTAAGGACAAAGCTGATCTTAGGCATACTGGAGTTCCCTTGTCCTAGCACCTGGACTTTCTAAGGCTCCATACTCACTGAGTCAGAGAAGCTAGTTTGCTGATTTGCATGTTCCATCTGCTTTTGCAAAGACAGGGCACCAGCAGGCTGCAGGAACCCTAAGGGAAGAAGGGGGGGGGGTTGAACTGAACAGGTAATGATAGGACTCAAGAGGTTAGGCCTTCTCCCCAATGGGTTATCACCTGTCTGAGTAGGCTGAAAGTGGCCATGCACTGCATAGGGCTGTGGCTGTGGCTGAGACAGGTACTGCACAGCAGGAAATGCTGATGGTGCTGAGGAAGGTAGACATCCATTAGTTCTCATGTTGAGCTGTTCTTCCCTCTGCTCTGAGGAGAATCAACACTCACCTCTGAGCTGCTGGCTAGGACTATAGGCTGGTTGTGTAGGCCCATAGTGAGGTGGGGGCTGAGCGGTTCCATAGGCTCCTCCTGGGCTGCCTTGGAATTGCCCATGTTCTGGGGTCCCTGCAAAAGCAGCTGCTGATCCCACATAATGCCGGGTCTAAGAAGGAAAACAAAAAACAACTTAGCTCCTACTTATTACAGGTTTGGCATGTTTGTACTTTAGTGATGGAGAAAGCAACCGGGGCTACACATCCAAACCCTAGTTCTCAAGCTGGGCTTGATGACAGATGCATAGAAGGTGGAGGAGACATGGCGACAGGATCACATGGCAGGGCCATTCTTGGCTACACAGTGACTTGAAAGCCAGCCTGAGCTTATAAGAAACTGTCTTTAGACTTCTCACCGTAAGCACTTGGGGTCCAAACATCTGCTTGGCTCTGTCAGCTGCCATGAGAGTACCTGGGCGATTGTGTCCTCCGGGGCTCCCTAGAAAGGGAGAGGGGCTTCATGATGCTGAATTAGGAGGCTGCAACCTCCAGGAGAGCCCATTCTTTTGGGTGGTTTCTCTAGTCCTCACCCTGCATGCTGAGGAGGTGTGTTCCCGTGTGAACAGTCAGGCTCTGCTGGTATGCAGCTGATGTCAGAGTGGTCAGGTCACTGGAGGAAAGGAAGACAGTTAAGTAGCCCTCCTTTGTCGCCTGGTCCACCGCAAAATGTTAGTTTTAGCTATCTGACCACACCTCTGTTCCTTTCGTCTCCGTTTTTCTTCCTCATGCAAAACTTTTTTGAGCTGCAAGAAAAGTTGGTGCTTCTCCTCCTGTAGAGCCGAGAGCTTCTCCTGCAGCTTCAAAATCTGCAAGAAGGATGAGCGGATAAGGGGGAAAGGGAAGAGAAGAAACCAGAACTGGGAGTGATGAGGGGTTACTCACTTGTTCCTTGGTCTCTTCTAGTGACATTCTCTCTTCCATCTCCTTTTTCTTTCTTCTCTCCTGCTCTTCTTTCATCTTCTGTTCCATCATCTTGTCCACCTCTTCCTCCTCTGAAGAATCAGACAGAACGGGGAAGTGGCAGGACAGTGAAAATAAGCTGAGTGTTAGACTGGAGACCAGCAAAAACCAGTTATTCCATCAGCCATAATGAGAACGAGGCTTCATTAGGTGCTCTCCAAGGTCCTTCCCAGCCCAGGGTTCTGGAGCTTAGATGGGGCCTCTTCGCTCACACCCTGAAGGAGCCGCGGCCTCCCTCTTAGCCTCGCCAGCAGGCGCACAGCTTGGCCCGTGGATGGGGACAAGTTCGTGGGTAGCAGAGCCACCCTGGGCCGTGTGTCTGTCCTCCCGCTCTGGCCCTGGCTCACCCTGCCGTTTGCGCTCCCGCTCCATCATGATGTGCCGGTGCAGAGCCCTGGCCATGGCATTGGAAAGTTTGGGGCGCTCCAGTAGTGCGGGCATGGTGCTGTTGATGACGCTTGGGCAGTGGGCGCCCGGTTCTGCCACTGACTGCCAGACCTCAGGCGGGGCCTGCAGGGAAGTGGGAGCTTAGAGGGACTGCGACCCGCCGAGGCGGAAGCCTGCCTGTCCGCTGCCCGCTTGCCGCTTCGGTCACGTGTCCCCGGCGCCGGTGTCCCTCCGGGTCTCAGCCTCAGTGCGCGTGAGGGGGTCCTAGGCTTCGCGCCCCCGCCCCGCCCGCGCAGCCCTGGCGCCAACCCCCCCTACCCGCCTTCTCGGCGCTTTCTCCGTGGCCTCCGGCGCGCCTTGATACCTACATCACTTCCGGCGCCCAGGATAAATCCTTCCGGGTCATGACGGCTACTGGCTCAGTGGGTTGGATGAAAAGAAAGGCGGAAGCGCTTGAAGACGGGTGCCGGGTTGTCCAAATTCCTTGCGGGTTTACAGAGGCCTGGGAAAAGCTAGCCTCTTGCCAAGAACCCCTGGAACTCTCCACCTCACGAGGCCGCGGAAGACAGAGGCAGAGGCAGACGCTCTGAAGACAGTATTTATTGGCTCCTTAGAAATCAGTCAGTAACAACTGTACAGAGGGCTCGCAGCTTCCTTGGGCTGCCCTTCCTTCCCCACTCCCGCTCCATGGCACCCCGTGGCCACGGAAAAAGCAGCTTTGTGTGGGCACAGAGACTCCTTTGGGATTCACAGTAACCAGAACAAAAACGGAAATAAATTAAGTGATATGGGGGAGGGTAATAGGGAGTCATGTTCCCCAAGTCAGTGCATGAAGGGGGGACCCAGAACCTGGAGCTGGGCTCCCTACAAGCTCCCTCTCAGCAGAGGGAGTGTGCTGGGCCCTGAATGTCGAGATGTGCTTCACACCTGGCCTAAATCAAAGCCTGTCTATGTGCTCCTCCTTCCAGGAAAGCACCTGGACAAGCCGTCAGTCACTGGAATGAGGTGGAGGCAGTCGTCATTCAAGAGTCCTGGGCTTGCTTGAGGCCTGGCTGTGCTTGTAGTAGTGGCATCTCACCCCTTATTCCACCCGTACCAGCAGGGCATAGAGGAGTGTGGCTCCTTTCTCCTTAGTGACCCACTCAAGTTCTGATGGGCTGAAGTGCTGGTCAGGAAGTTCTCTGAGGGCAGCAGAAGGAGGGCCAGGAGTGTAGGAGCCAGGACGCACACACACCTGAAAGGCCACCTGAGCCTGGTGTGTCCGCTGGGATTTTGGATCCCGGAATCTGTTAGACAAGCAGAAACAGGAGGTGGGTAAGGCTTCCAAGCTCCCCCAACCGATGAATGGCTTAGCACCAACTTGACTCTCCTCCCAAATCCCACTCAGCAAACTCCTTCATGACCCTCTTCATGGGTTTGTTTACCCTGGGGTTCTATTTCGTGTTTGTTCTAGAAACTCCAAGTGCACTTCTCATCTACTTCACCCACGCTTTGGGGCAGAACAGGGTCTCTATCCCAGGTTAGCCTCAAACTCCCTATAAAGGTGGAGGTAACCTTAAAGTCCTGATCCTTTGCATCTGCATCCTAGTGTTACGACTCCAGGTATGTGTTAAAACACAGTTTATGCAGTGCTAGGACATTCAAAAAGACTATGACGCATATATAATCGAGGAAAACCAGACATAAGTGACGAACTCTTCCAATCACAGCACTCAGGATGTAGGTGGAAGCAGAAGGAGCAGGTGTCCAAGACCAGCTCACAGACATACATACCAAGCACAAATTTGAGACCAGGTTGGGCTATTTTTCCCCCTGGTTTTCAAGAAAAACAAACAAACAAAAAACCCAAACAAAACAAAAAACTGGGCAGTGGCAGTTAGTGAACACCTTTAATCCCAGCACTTGGGAGGCAGAGGCAGGAGGATATCTGGGAGTTCTAGGCCAACCTGGTCTACAAAACAGGTCCCAGGACAGCCAGAGCTGTTAGATGAAGAAATCCTTTCTCAGGAAAACAAAACAAAAAACCACAAACAAACAAAAATAAACAATGAAATGGTGATGGGTTACACCTTTAATCCCAGGAGGCAGAGGCAAGTAGATCTCTGAGTTCGAGGCCAACCTGGTTATGAGACTGAGTTCCAGGACAACCAGGGCTACACAGAGAAACCCTGTCTCAAAACAAAACAAAAACAAAATACACACAGGGTAAGGGGTGGGAGTGGGGAGGTAGGCTGTTGGAGAAACGGTTCAGTGTTTAAGAGTACAGGTTATTCTATAGAACCCTGGTTCAATTCCCAGCACCCACATGGCAGCTCACAACTGCCTGTAACTCCAGTTCCAGAGGACCTGATGCCTTCTCCTGGCCTCTGCAGGCACTGCACACACACGCTACACAGACTTACATGCAGGTAAAACACCCATACACATAAAAAACTTTAAAAAAAACAAACAACCATTTGGGGGTGGCTTTAATCCCAGCACTCAGAAGGCAGAGGCAGGTGTGCTAGGGGAAGGCTCCTCCAGCTAAAGTGTTCTGAGATGTTCGAGGCTAGCCTGGTCTACAAAGTGAAACCCTGTCTTAAATGAAACAAACAAGCAAACAAAAAGGATCTGGTTAAGGAGCAACTATCACGCCAGTGTGGGGAGAAGGGGTGTAGAATCCTAAGTGCCCCTTCTAAATCTGAGGCCTCAGAGCTCTCCTCTCAGTACTCACTGCACTTTGGAGGCCAGGGTCTCTGCCCCGGCATACTGAAGGGATGGCGAGAGCAGCACTGGAGGAGGCTGCTCCTCCCGGGGAGGTGCACAGTTCTCACCAGGCTCCTCAAAGCCCACCCCAGGCTCTCCCTTCAAGGGTCGGCAGCTCAGGATGGAGGTAGTACCTGTGGAGAGAGTCGGGTGAGGGCAGCCCTGTGATTCCTCCTAGGATCCCTAGGCCCAGCCCACTCACGATACCTGCTCCCAACTCCCCTCGGTCCAGCACCCTCCGTACAACTGCCACACTGCTTCCATGGTATGCCATGTGCCACTTCTTTGTTAGTGTCCCAGCTTCTAGATGGGGATTCACCCTGAAAGGATAAGACAGACAAGTCAAAGGTCAGTGGCTCCTCAAGATTGTCCCCCACACAAAAAGTCCTATCACTTTTTTTTCCCTGGGATTCTTCTTTCTCAGGGAAAAGAGCAAAGGGGAAAATCCATGCCTGTGACCCATAAGTACCTAAGATTGAACCTGCACCATCCAAAAGGCAGGGCATATTCCCGGGGAGGCTCTCCTCGGCGCCTGTGAGCCTCATCTCCTCGCAACTTCCGGCAAGATTCACAGTAGCATAAGCTACGCTTTGGTGGAGGCATGAAATAATCTTCTGTGGGACAATGAACAACAGGCTTGGTGCTCCTGTCCTGGCCTCAGCCACACCGTTGCTCTCCAGCTGGTGTCCAGCCATGGGAACGAGGCTCTGAGGATTAGGACTCACCTGGAAGCAACAACAGTTCCTGGAAGCGGGAGCAAAGGGCATGGTACTCGCAGCTCTTTAAAGGGCTAGCAGCAGGCGGTGGACCCCAGCACACACTTTCCTTTATGCCTGGAATAGCAGGGAGAGAAAAGTCATAGGAGCTGGGCTGCGGAAGGACTGGATAAGACATGGATGGGCAGACAAGCAGGGCACCATAATTATCCCGTTAAGCAAACGCACCGTCTACCATATCAGCCTTTTCCATGTCTCCCTGGGTTCCAGCAATCTTCCCACTGGCCGCCCCTGGGTCAGGGCTCATAATTGTCACCTGTGGAAGAGAGTAGTCAGCCACAGCTTGACAGGTCCCCAGATCCCCTTTGTGGGCCAGAAGCTTCCCAGTATCCCAGGACTCCCCTTACCCCATCTCTGCGGCCACTAACCTGCTCACACTGTCCATAGAGGTCCACAAGTGCATGGCACGGCTGGGGCACATCCGGCACAGCTACCCCCTGGTCCACCCCATTGATGTGGAGATGGAGCCCTCCAGAGCAGTCTAGCCGCAGCCCCAGGATGGTGCCTTCAGGACACGTATCAAGATTTGGCCCGAACTTTTCACAGATCTAAGAGGAAAGGACTACTGTCTCCAGACATCAGGCCCACAACATACCAGCAGCCTCCCTACGGTTTCAATGTTTCTAACTGCCAGTCCCTGAGCTTTGTCTGGATCCATGCCCACGGCCTAGGCTCTATTCCCATTTCATTTACCTAGAGTCCCCTTTTCACTTCCAACTCTAACATTCTCAATGGCTGGGGCACAGGAGGAAGCAATAAATGGGCCAAAGACTGTCCAGGTAATGACATGCATGTCTCCCTTTTGGCCAGGTCCTCTCCATTCAGAGGCTTGGTCATTCCAGTCTTCATGGCTCCCTCCTCACCTTCAGACCATTGTGGAAGACACCACGGCCCCGCAGGAGCCAGGCTGCCCGTTTAAGTGCACAAGCAGAGGCAGGGAAGTTAAGCCTCTCAGGTGGGCAGGTGATGACTCCCAGAACGAGAGAAGATGTCCACTGTCGGTTCAGGAAGTCGATCCGCACCTGCATGAGAAGGAACTATATACTCACAGCTTCTAGGACAGAAGCCACCTGCCTAGCTAAATCAGTTTTAGCACCCAAACCAGAGTATGGCTGCCTGGTACAGCACCCTTTCTGATGTTTGTAGAGAACAAAAACTACCAACTCAGATGTCTCCTTCCCTGTTTAGCCTGCTGCCAGAAATTGAATCCAGGTCCTAACACATGCTAAATAAATGTTCTACAATGAGCTGCACCCCAACATCCTTTCTCTTTGAACCCTGGTCTGTTCCTAGATAATTCTTTCAACTGGCTCACTTTCTACCTGTCTTTTAGTTTGCAGCAGAAAGGGCCCCTAATGCTGGGCAGTGGTGGTGCACACCTTTAATCCTAGCACTTGGGAGGCAGAAGTAGGCGGATCTCTGTGTTTGAGGCCAGCTGGTCTACAGCCTGGTCTTCCAGGACAGCCAGGACTACACAAAGAAACCTTGTCTAAGGAAACAAAAACAGGACAAAACAAAACAAAAAAGGGCCCCTTCACCCTGAAGTAACAGGAGCTAGGTAAGGAGAAAGACATACCTGAACAAGCAGGTGGGGTACCAGGGGCTGGTTGATGACAACGATGCCCTGATTGTAGCTAGCCACTCGTGTGGCTGTACGGTTCCCATTGGATAAGAGGATATTCTTCCCGTGGTTTTCCAGGAATTCAAGGGCTGTGGGCATAATACCCACTTGATTCTGGCCCTGGTATGGAGCAAGAGACTGAGCTGCACAAGATACCAATTACAGTT